CTGCCCTCCCTTCTCTCACCCCCCCTTCTCTTATCCCTTTCTCCTTCTATTTTCCTGTAGGGCAGGATAGATTTCTATACTCCTTTGCTTGTATATCTTATTTCCCAGTTGCATGTAAAAACAATTTTTAACATTCATTCTTAAAATTTTGAGTTCCAAATTCTCTCCCTTCCTCCCTCCCTACCCACCTTCATTGAGAAGGCAAGCGATTTGATATAGGCTACACATGTCTAGTCATGCAAAACACTTCCATGATAGTCATGTTTTGGAAGATTAACTATATTTCCCTCCATCCTATCCTGTCCTCCATTTATTCTAGTATCTCCTTTGACCCTGACCCTCCTCAAAAGTATTTGCTTCCGATTACCCCCTCCCCAAATCTTCCTTCCCTTTTTATCATCCCCCACTCTCTTATCCCCTTCCCCCCTATTTTCCTGTAGGATAAGATAGATTTCCATACCCAATTGAGTGTGTATGTTATTCCCTCCTTAAGTCAAATATGAAGAGAGTAAGATTCACTCATTCTCTCTCACCTCCCCCTCCTCCCCTCCACTGTAAAAGATTTTTCTTGCTTCTTTTATGTGAGATAATTTACCCCATTCTCTACCTCTCCCTTTCTCCTTCTCCCAGTATAATCCTCTCTCACCTCTTAATTTTATTTTTTTATATATCATCCCTTCATATTCAACTCATCCTATGCCTTATGTCTGTCTGTCTGTCTGTCTGTCTTTCTCTCTCTCCCTCCATATATATATATGTATATATATATATATATATACATGTATATATATATATACACGTATGTATGTATGTATGTATGTATGTATGTATGTATTCCTGCCAACTACCCTAGTACTGAGGTCTCATGAGTTAAAAATATCATCTTTCCATGTAGGAATGTAAACAGTTCAATTTGAATAAGTCCCTTATGATTTCTCTTTCCTATTTACCTTTTCATGCTTCTCTTGAGTCTTGTATTTGAAAGTTAAATTTTCTATCCAGCTCTGTCTTCTCATCAAGAATGCTTGAAAGTCCTCTATTTCACTGAATCTCCATTTTTCCCAGGAAGGATCATACTCAGTTTTTCTGGGTAGGTGATTCTCAGTTTTAATCTTTGCTTCTTTAACCTCTGGAATATCATATTCCAAGCTCCCCCAATCCCTTAATGTAGAAGCTGTTAAATCTGGTGTTATCCTGATTGTGTTTCCGCAATATTAGAATTGTTTCTTTCTTGCAATATTTTCTCCTTGACTTGGGAACTCTGGAATTTGCCTACAATATTTTTAGGAGTTTTCCTTTTGGCATCTTGTTTAGGAGTTGATTGGTGGATACTTTTCCATTTCTATTTTACCCTCTGGTTCTAGAATATCAGGGCAGTTTTCCTTGATAATTTCTTGAAAGATGATGTTTAGGTTCTTTTTTCAATCATGGCTTTCAGGTAGTCCAATAATTTTAAAATTATCTCTCTTGGATCTATTTTCCAGGTCAGTTGTTTTTCCAATGAGATATTTCACACAGTCTTCTATTTTTTCATTCTTACGGTTTCATTTTATAATTTATTGATTTCTCATAATGTCATTAGTTTCCATTTGCTCCATTCTAATTTTTAAGGAAGTATTTTCTTCAGTGAGCTTCTGGACCTCCTTTTCCATTTGGCCAACTCTACTTTTGAAGGCATTCTTCTCCTTTTTGGACCTTTTTTTTCCTTTGGGGTCAGTCTATTTTTTAAGGTGTTATTTTCTTCAATATTTTTTTGGGTCTCCTTTAGCAAGCTGTTGACTCATTTTTCATTATTTTCTTGCATCATTCTCATTTCTATTCCCAATTTTTCCTCTACTTCTCTTACTTGATTTTCAAAATCCTTTTTGAACTCTTCTATGGTCTGGGACCAAGTCATATTTTTCTTGGAGGCTTCAGATGTAGGAGTATTTGCTTTGTTGTCTTCTGGTTGTATGTTTTATTCTTCTTTGTCACCAAAGTAAAATTCTAGAGACTGAGTTTTTTGCTTCTGTTTGCTCATGTTCCCAGCCAATTACTTGATTTTTAAATTCTTTGCTAAGGTAGGGTTCTTCTTCCAGTGTTGAGGGTGTACTGTCCTGAGCTTCAGGGGTTTTTGTGAAGTTGTTTTTTTCAGAGATACTTCCAGCAGCTAAACATTTTCAGTTCTTCCAAGGTGGTATGATCAAAGGAGAGATGTTTACTCCTTTCCTGTCCTGTGCTCTGGTCTATGAGTGACTACAAACTTTCTTTTCTGCCTTGGAACTGTGAGGAGGATTCTCTCTGTACCACCACAAGCTCCACCATGCCAGCACTCCTCCTCCCTGCAGGGCCACTACCCAGGACTGTGACCAAGATCTAAGCACAGGCAAAGCAAAATAATCCTTTCTCAGCACCAGCAAAGAGATCTCTGCAATACTCTTCTGATCAGCCACTCAATTTCCCCTCAGTCTGTGATCTGGGGGCACCCCAGCATCTGAGGGCCAAGAGCTCAGGAAGAAACTGCTGCTGCTCTGGCCATTGTCCCAGGGTTGCACTAGGGCCAGGGCTAGACCATGCTCCTCTCTCAACCAACTCTGACAGACCTTTCCCACTGACCTTCTAAGTTGTCTTTGGTGTTTGTGGGTTGAGACGTCTGGAAACCACCACAGCTGCTTGTAATTCAGTCCCCCAAGGCCTGTTCCATGTTTCCTCTGTTCCTGTCTTTGCCTGTGCCACCCATGCTGAACTGCATTCCTCTCCCAGCCTGGTGCAACAGACCTTTCCTATTAACCATCCAAGTTGTCTTGGGCTGGAAATTTGTTTTACTCTGTCTTTTTGTGGGTTCTGCTGCTCTAGAATTTGTTTAGAGCCATTTTTTACAGGTATTTGGAGGAGTTTGGAGGAGAGCTTAAACAAGTCACTTCTTTTACCCTGCCATCTTGGCTCTGCCCGCCAGCTTGTTTTTATTTAGAACAGATCATGTCAAAATAACACTTCCTTTTTTTTTTAAAGAGTGTTACAAGGCAAGTTAAACAATCAAATGTTTATTTCTATAGAATTTGCTTGGATTTTAGTAAAGCATTTGACAACCTATCTTATGTTATTTTTGTGGATAAAATAGAAAAACAAAAGCGAAGTGATGGCCTAGTTAGGTGGATTAGGACCTGGATGACTAGACAGTTGATAGCAAATTGGAAAGACAACCTTTGCATAGTAATAAGAATAATGATCATTGCTTATATAATTCTTTAAGGTTTACAAAGTTTCATGTGTGTGTATGTATATATGTATATATGTGTGTACGTACGTATATACATATATGCATATTTTATTCCATGACAACCATCCTGTAAGGAAGGTGCTATTATTATCCCCATATTTCAGATGAAAAAACTGAGGCTGGCATTTATCACAGACTTTGTTAAAGGCTCAGATGACAAGCTTATCAAATTGGCAGATAGCACAAAACTGGAAGGCTAACTGACACATTGGATGACAGAGTCAAGATCCAAAAAAATCTTGCAAGACTTAAGTATTGGACAATCAGCATAGTATAAGGGGAAAGTTCTCTGGCTTAAAAGTTAAAGAACCTTGGTTCAAATCCTCCCTCTGATGCTTATTACCAGTTTGACTTTAGTCAAGTTACAGCCTCCCATACTTTAGTTTCCTCATATGTAAGAATATAAGGTCATTTCCACCTCTAAGTCTATGATCCTCTTCTCTAATGCTATCAAATTCAGTGGGGATACATGTAAACTCTTAGAGCTGGGCCAGTCAGCCAATGAACATTTATTAAGTGCCTGCTATGTGCCAGTCACTGTGATCAACGTTGAGGATACAAAAAAGGTCAAAAGACAGTCCCTGCCTGCAAGGAACTCCCTAATCTAATAGGAGAAACAACAAGCGAATAAATATGCACCAACAAGCTATATATACAGGAGATTATTAAGAGGGATTTAAAAACTCCACTTCACAAGTGTAAGATGGAAAAAGAAACATTACTAGTTAGCAGGGGTTTTTTTCTAAGATTTTAAGATTTAGGGAGACTACAATCTCAATCTCTTCTACCCTTCAAGAGAGGTAAGGAATATATTATATTGTAAATTTTAACACATTAGGAAACTGAGATTCAGAGGTTAAATAACAGGATACGGCAATTGATTTGGATTAATTGAATATGGAGGGTGAGAGAAAGTAAGGAGTCAAGTATAATACCTTGGTTGGGAGGGTGGTTTACTAGAAATGTGGTGGTACCCTTGGTAGTAATAGGGAAGGTAAGAAGAAGGGAAGGATTGAGAGGGGGTGGGGCAAAACATAATGAATTCAGTTTTGAACATTTTGAGTTTTAATATGTCTACAGGATCTAGTTCAAGATGTCTAATTGGTAGTTGAAGATGTTGGACTGGAAGTCAAGAGGGTGGTTAGGGCCAGACAAATAGACCTGAGAATTATCTGCATGTAGATGATAATTGAATCTACGGGAGCTAATGAGATCACCAAGTGAGATAGCAGAGAGGGAGTAGAGAAGAGGGCTCATGGGGGATATCTACAGTTATGGGAAATGGTATGGATGAAATCCAGCAAAAGAGACTGAAAACTAGTCAGAGAGGATGGAAGAACCAAGAGAAAGCATCGTCTCTGTCTCTGTCTCTCTCTCTCTCTCTCTGTCTCTCTCTCTCTCTCTCTCTCACACACACACACACACACACACACACACACACACACACAAACTAAAAAAAAAAGAATATCAAGAGAAACGGGTGATCAACAGCACTAGAGGCTGCAGAGAGGCCAAGAAGGATGACAATAGAGAACAGACTACTAGATTTGGTAGGAATGTTAGGAAGGCAGGGACTCCTCTCCCTCTGGGTCTCCCTTCAATGCCAAGAATATCAGGACCTCAGAGCAAGTCAGGACAACTGATTAACTTTAAGTGGACTTTTGAATGTCTGAGTTTCTGAGATTGGACATCTTTTCAAGTATCATTTTCTTTGCCTCTCTTTCTACTCTCTGACCTACAGAGGATACTTCAAAGGCTTTACTGTCCTTGAATCCTCCATGGAACAGAATTTTCAGGGGAGAGAATGTGACCCTTCACTGTACGGGGTCAGGCACCTCACATAGCAACCAGACCTGGTGGTTCCATAATGATTCCAGAACCTCAGTTCAAACTCCCAGCTACAGCATCATTTTTGCCAACCTCAGGAACAGTGGAGAATATAAGTGCCAGACAAGTGATTCTGCCCTCAGTGACCCTACATATATAGGAGTCTACAGTGGTAAGTATTGGACCTAGGGAGATCTAGGGCAAAGGTTAAATGAAAAAGCATTTTTCAAGTGATTAATGTGTGTTAAGCACTGGGTTAAGTGTTGGGTATAGGAATAAAAAACAAAGAAACAAATACGATGGCTTCTGCTATCAAGGGGTTCACATTCTAATCAGGAAAGACAAGATGTATAAAGCGACAGAGTTGCAGGAAAGTTTGATAGGCCGGAACATTCTAAGTATTCAGCATTAGTGTGAATGTCAAGGTTCAGGGGTCCTTAGAGCGCATCCGCAAATTGGATAGTTCAATGCCCAAGGATCTGTAGAGCGTTATGGAAGGATAGATGACAATGCCTGGTGATTCTGAAGTCACCAGGAATCTTATACCTGTTGACTTGCAGCTGATACAAATGGAATGAACATCTATGTTATTTTTTTCCACCTGTCCACCCCTCCCCCACCATGGTATCCAGGAAATTGGTGGAGAGGCTAAGGAAAGAGGGAGGAGTACCAGTGGTTCTTCATGCTTGACTACCTGGATGACGTCTTTTTGTTCTCTATGCTGGTTAGTTCTCCACTACCACCCCTTTTTCTTCTGTGCAAGACTTAGGACTGGTTTGATTCCTGGGTCCCAGCTTTCCTTGATAGTAGGGCTCGTACTGGGAAGCTGGCAAAGGGGTTAACTCAAAGTCATGTGTCACAAATTGACTCAGTAATAGACAGGTTGTAGGGCTGATCTAGGACCTCTTAACCATATTAGGAAGGAGCTTGGGGTAGGAGCACCTAGAGTCATGTTGTCAGCAGATCTATATCTAGAATAGCTCATGCTCAACTAACCTCATTACTTTTTTTTTGACAGAGCTAAAAAAATGGTTGAACAACCAAAAGCTTTCTATAGAATTCATCAAGATTTTAATAAGGCATGTGGCAGCCTATCTCATACTATTTTTGTGAATAAAGCAAAGAAATGTGAGTTATAATAATACTATTAGGTAGATTAGGAACTGGAGGAATGGCCAATTGATTGCAACAATGCCTGGCACATTGTAATCACTAATGTGGAAAGACAGTCTCCACATAATAACAATAAGAATAAGAGTGGGAGGAGGAGTATTATCACTTATATAATGCTTTAGGATTTACAAAATGCTTTGTATGTATTATCTCATTTGATCCTTAGCAATTACTCTGTGAAGTAAATGTTATTAGTATCCCCATATTTCAGATGAGGAAACTGAGGCTAGCATTTATCATAGTCTTTGCTAAAGACTCAGATGGAAAGCATATCAAAGTTGCAGATGGCACCAAGCTGGAAAGATAGTTGAATAGAGTTAAGATCCAAAAAAATCTTGACCGGATTAAGTTTTGGGCAATCAAAATGGTGTAAGAGAAAGCTCTCTGCTTGAAGTTAAGGGACTTCATTTCAAAGCTCGCCTTGACACTTATTACCTGCATTCTCTTACTCAAGTGATAGCTCCTCTATACCTGAGTTTCCTCATCTGGAAGATGAGAGTGTTGGCCTAGAGGGCCTCAGATGTGCCTTCCAGCTCTAAATCTATTATCCTCTGCTCTACTATGATCAAATTAAATAGGGATAAACGTAAACCCTCAGAGTTGAATTAAAAACTCAACTCTACAAGATTCAAAAGACAAGATTCAAAATGACTACTCGTGTGTGTGTGTGTGTGTGTGTGTGTGTGTGTGTGTGCGCGCATGTTTAGAAAGGATGCTGGAATTAGGGGAGGAGACTGCATTTTCAATTTGAGTCAAAAAAATAATCTCAATAACCTCAGTATGACAACTAAAATAGGCTGCATTAAAAAAGATATTGTTTCCAGCCTTAGATAAGTGATAACCCCATTGAAATCTGCTCTGGTCAAACCACATCTGTTTGGTTCTGAGCTCTCTCTCTTTGGGAAGTAACTGGTTAAACTGACTATTGCCCAGAAGATAGCAACCTGAACAGTGAAGGATCTTGAGACCATGCTCTGTGAGGATCAGTTGAAGGAACTGGGGATATTTAGCAAGGAAAAGGGAAGAATTAAGGGAGACATGATAGTTATATTCAAACATTTGATAGGCTTTCAGAGGAGAAAGTAAGGCTGGTGACTTTGCACAGCCCACCCTCACTTAAATCCAATTCACTTGCATGTCATGGCTTTGTCATTGTCCTCTTCCAGAACAATGGATAAGCAATAACCTTTGTGAGTAGTAGTAGGAGCTGCCCCACTGGGGACCCAACTGGAACTGGTCAATTGGGCTACACAGCTCCTTTCTATTTCTCATTCTTCCTTCCTCCCTACTTCCCTCCTTCCTTCCTTCCCCTCCCCTCCCCTCCCCTTCTGTTCCCTCCCCTCCCCTTCCGTTCCCTCCCCTCCCCTTCCGTTCCCTCCCCTCCCCTTCCGTTCCCTCCCTCCCCTCCCCTTCCGTTCCCTCCCCTCCCCTTCCGTTCCCTCCCTCCCTCCCCTCCCTCCTTCCCCTCCCCTCCCCTCCCCTCCCCTCCCTCCTCCCCTCCCCTCCCCTTCCCCTCCCCTCCCCTCCCCTTCCCTTCCCTTCCCTCCCCTCCCCTCCCTCCCCTCCCCTCCCTCCCCTCCCCTCCCCTCCCCTTCCCTTCCCCTCCCCTTCCCTTCCCTTCTCTTCCCTTCCCTTCCCTTCCCTTCCCTTCCCTTCCCTTCCCTTCCCTCTGTCCAGATAGGGTATCATACCTTTACCTGAAGGTGTTCTGCCCAAAGAAATGTAAATTTTAATCTCTGACACCTCACAAGATATCCTGGGCTTTATGGGCTAAATTTTTTTCTTCTTTTTTGTGTTTTTTCTTTTGCTATTTTTATTAATTAATTGAGTTTTAGTTTTCAACATTCACTTCCATAGGATTTCGAGTTTTTAATTTTCTCTCCTTCTCACCCTCCACCCTGAAACAGAATGCAATCTGATACAGGCTCTATATATACATTCATATTAAAAATATATTCACATTAATCATGTTATAAAGAAGGATTAAAACCAATGGGAGGAACCACAAGAAAGAAGAAACAAAAAGAGAGAGAGAGAGAGAGAAAATAGTATGCTTCAATATGCATTCAGACTTCATAGTTCTTATTCTGGATGCAGATAGCATTTTCCATGATGAGTCTTTTTGGAGTTGTCTTAGATCCTTGCTTTGCTGAGAAGACCTAAGTCTATCAAAGTCAGTCATCACACAATGTTACTGTTACTATGTACAATGTTCTTCTGGTTTCTGCTCACTTTACTTTGCATCAGTTCACGTAAGTCTTTCCAGGTTTTTCTGAAGTCTGCTTGCTCATTATTTCTTATGGAACAGTAGTATTCTATTCTATTCATGCAGCACAACTTGTTCAGCCATTCACCAATTGACGGACATCCCCTCAATTTCCTATTCTTGGCCACCACAAAAAGAGCTGCTATAATATTTTTCTAGATGTAGGTCCTTTTCCCATTTATATAATATCTTTGGGATACAGATCTTGAAATGATAATGCAGGGTCAAAAGGTACACACATTTTAATAGTCCTTTGGTCATAGTTCTGAATTGCTGTCCAGAATCTTTGGATCAGTTCACAATTCCACCAACAGTGCATTAGTGTACCAATTTTCCCACATCTTGTCTAACACTTATCATTTTCCTGTTTTTTCATGTTAGCTGATCTGATAGGTGTGATGTGGTACCTCAGAGTTATTTTTATTTGCATTTATCTAATCAATAATGATTTAGAGCATTTTTTTTTCATATAACTGTAGATAGCTTTAATTTCTTCATCTGAAAACTGCCTGTTCATATCCTTTGACCATTTATCAATTGGGAAGTGGCTTGTATTCTTATAAATTTAACTCAGTTCTCTTTATATTTGACAAATGAGGCCTTTGCTAGAGACGCTGGTTGTAAAACTTGTTTTCCAGCCTTCTGTTTCCTTCTAATCTTGGTTGCATTGGCTTTGTGCAAAAACTTTTTGATTTAATATAATCAAAATTATCCATTTTTCATTTCACAATGTTTTCTATCTCTAATTTGGTCATAAATTCTTCCATTCATAAATCTTACAGGTAAACTATTCCTTGCTCTCCTAGTTTGCTTATAGTATCAGCCTTTATGTCTAAATTGTGTATCCATTTTGACTTTCTGTCGGTATATGGTGAAGATGTTGGTCTATGCCTAGTTTTTGCCATGCTATTTTCCAGTTTTCCCAGCAATTTTTTGTTAAATAGTGAGTTCTTATCCCAGAAGCTGGAGTCTTTGGGTTTCAGGCTTTTTTTTTCTTCTTAAGGACCATGCCTTAAATTCAAACCACTCTTGCTCTCATTGATTGGCCAACAATAGGTCCCAGGCCAAGCGCTGCTTGGTCATTGTTTGGACGCTGATTGGCTCAAAGTGAATGTAAATAGCAGTTGTTTCTGTTTTGGCCAGAAACCACTCCCAGAATGATTTTTTTTAATAGGCAAAAGAGGCCATTCTCTCCTTCATTTCTCTCTCTTATTTTTGGCTAGGTAATGGGGTTATGTGACTTGTACAGGGTCACACAGCTAGTAAGTGTTATGTGTCTGAGCCAGACTCGAACTCAGGTACTCCTGAATTCAGGGCTGGTGCTCTACCCACTGCACCACCTAGCTGCCCCCTCTCCTTCATTTCTTACCTAGCCTTAATCACTAAATGGGCATTGCTCAGTCAAACAGAAACCTGTTAAAGACCTTAGCTTAAAAAGGCCAAGGCCTCCCATTGCATCCAGGGCCATCTCCAGTCATCCTGATCAGGTGGACCCAGATGGCTCTGGAGGAGAAAGTGAGGCTGGTGACTTTGCACTGCCCTCCATCACTTAAATACAATTCATTTACAAGTCATGGCATCATCTCCCTGATGTCATGGTTCTCTTTCAGAAGGAAGGACAAACAACAACAGCAACGGGCTTTCAGGGAGAAGAGGAGTTAGATGTATGTGCTTAGCTCCAGAAGTGAGAGTTTAGAAATGAAGGTGAAATTTAACAAAATAGACTTCCAAAC